CACAATTAATCAGTGAACCGGTTAAACATTAGCAGGTAAACTGATTAAGTATGATCCAGGGTGGGGAACTGCTCTAGCCTGGCTGGAGCAGCCCCCACCCACTGTAGGCCCAGCCCAGTGCATTGCAAGCAGGGGCACTCCGGCCCTGCCAGAGCAGGCCCTGGCTGCAAGGGTCCTGACCTGGCTGCTCCAGCCCAACTGCCCCCCTTTAAGCAGTTAACTGCTTAAACAGGATTTTACACCCCCAAGACACAGAGCTTATGTATACATAGAAGTTGAACCTATACAGCTAACTCAGTTTCCAAAATTATTTTGTTACTTCAATGCTCCCTCTACTATTTAGAAAACAGTTTAGTCAAATAATTACAAATGCCACGTGGAGAACAGGCCTCAAGTCTTTCAATTTAAACAAGCCGCAGCAAACTTACCCAATTTATCATGTAACTCTCAAAGAAGAAATCCCGTGGCACCTTACAGACTAACAGATATATTGGAGCATAAGCTTTCGTGGGCAGAGACCCACTTTGTCAGATGCATCTGATGAAGTGGGTCTTTGCCCACGAAAGCTTATGCTCCAATATATCTGTTAGTCTATAAAGTGCCACAGGACTTCTCATCGTTCTTGCAGATTCAGACTAACACGGCTAACACTCTGATACTTGTCAAACAAGAAAGTTCTTAAATTTACAGATCTTTGCTCAAACATAATTCTAGCAAAGGTAATAAAACCAATCAAGCAAAGTAGCTTAAGGGGGCAACAGGACAAACATTTTCAATAATACTAACAAGTATAAACCAAGTTTTAACATAAATATGCTTTATTAAATTTTCAATCCAAAATCTTACCAAATAAGCGCTGCTACTGTAGGTGATGGCCAACAACATTATAAAAGTAATTTGGGAACCTGATTCTGCAAAGTGCCAACTTCTTCCTAATATGCTGAGCAATGAACCTCATCTTTAAGTCAAGGAAATGTGAGATGCTTACAACAAAGGATGTTAAATATCGGTTAACTGAACACTCAATTAACCTCATGAATTAGAATAGAACTATAGAATAGTCCCCGGGGGTGGAGCCAGAAGCCAGTGCACTCTGGCCCCACTCCCGAGGAGTCCCCTGCCACTACGTGCTGCTGCCTCTGATACAGAGGCAAGCAGCACGGGGTGCCAGGCAGGAGCTGGTCCGCAAGGGGAGCCAGTTCAAAACCCAGCTCCCCCCGTAGACTGGCTACCGGTCATCCTGTGTTGCTGCCTCTAACACGGAGGCAGCAAGGCAGAGTGGCAGGGGGCTCCAAGGGAGTGGGGCTGGAACGCACTGGCTGCCAGGCCCACCCCTAGGGACTACAGAATAAGAATTCATGAGGTTAACTGACTATTCAATTAACCGATATTTAACATCCTTAGGGTGTATGAGCATTTGGAGTTTCTCCATTTCCTTGTGTTAGGCAAAATTCTGTGTCTATTCTCATGAGAACACAGACTACTCTGATACAGAGGCAGCAGCAGCTCTGTTTTGAGTGGGGGGGGGGGGGGGGGGAGGGAAGGGGAAGAAGTCTAAGCTCCCAGACCCAACGCAAGCCAGGACTGAGCCGAACTTTTGCTTATCAGTTAATCGACTATACTATTACATCCCTACTTACAACTGCAAAAATCAAGCCCTAAATTAGTAAATAATTGTGTACATCACAGAATAAAGAAGAGAAAACACAGATAGCTTTAGAACAAGTAGGTGGACAAAGCATTTATGAGAAGTCCAGCACTGAATTCTGTATGCAAAGCAGCAAAACAAATGGAAGATCCAAAAATGTTTTAGTGAAGAAACTTCAGATGGGTTCAAACTTCAATACAAGGAGGATTGCGGAAACATTGTAATTATTTTAAACAGTATATTGGACATCAACTAAAACAAGCCAATTCTAAAATATCAAGCTGTAATTTTGCTTTGGCAAGGGTCCTTAAACAGGTTCACATGCAGTGTGTGCTCAAGGCTGCAGGATTTAGTTTCTCATTACTTGGACTTCACTAATCTAAGCAGACCACACTAAAACAAAAAAGGTCGACTTTTTTGCTTTTCATAAAAGTAAAAGGAGCCTTTGCCTTGCCCAAGCAACCCCTAAATCACATTATTAACTTACATATCTTTGTGCCCCACTGTTGGACATATGCCAAAAGGAATAAATTAAATCAAGAGCAAACAAAAAGGTAAATTTAAGCAGCACCATAGAAACAAGATCATTCTTCAAAGTTTTTAACATGACAAAACAGACTGAAGACGGTCAGACAAGAAGGGAAGGCAAGGTTTTCATTCCCAATCAGAGAAGATGCTGGAGAGCCTTATGTTCACTATAGAACTAGATCAATGCTGCTCTAGAAATCTAACAAAGCACCTCTTTTCAACTGCCTCTTGTGCAAATGCAGTCTAGCTTCAACACCTTAAAAGGTTTTATAAAATCAATCAAAAAGCATGCTTCAGTTATCATGGGAAAAATGAGACTTTAGTCATTAAAGAAGGCCCTCTGTTCTGCAGCATGAATAAAGAACCCATGCTCTAACAGAAAAATGGACAAACAAGTGGATTTCATGTCCTAAACAAGTAACAGGCTTCAAATCATTACAGGGCAATGATCAGAGATGCTATTTTTACCTTTACATTCTATTTAAATTTAATTAAAATATGACAATTCAGATGGACACACGTTCCTGTTACAAACTATTTATGCTGCAATAAAGTATGGCTTCAATGTTCACTTTCAAAGCAACCTGGTAGTATTTCAAATTCAGGAATATAATACGATTTGTACATTCAGCTTTAAAACTTCACCTTACACATTTCAACACAACTTCTATGCTGACCCCACAAGATAAAGCCAAGTCCTTGGCCTTCCTAGATCAGTCTTTTTCCCAACTTTATGCAATCTCCCCCCTTAGATTGCAGAGGACAGAGAGTTTCTTTCCTCTTCTCCTCCATGGGAAACCTAGTTTGAGAGATGAATACAACAAGCCCACACTTTCATTTTTGTTAGCTTTTTGAATCACTTTCATCCTATTAATTCAATGTCTTCCCTCCTCAGTAAAACCTCCCACTCCCACTGACAATTACCATCAACTGCAGGGCTTAGAAACAGTCCTTCACACAAACAGTTTCTTACAGCTTCCCAAAGTTTCTTATTCCCCTATCTGCCTATATGCTTCATCCCTAGCCTTGCCAAAAAGAGGGGTTGGTCTGACGAATCTCAGCCAAACAGTAACAATTCTCCTAATCAGATGAGGAAATAGCATTAGGTAAGAACGGGAAGAGTGTGCCTGGCACAGTTTTATGTATCACCAAAACAGAGTTCTTAAAACATGCAAAGGATGCTGCTTCAGATTTGGTGGAACAAGGCCTAATACTAGTGGTAAATGGATTCTTAACACCAAACTTAATAGCCTCGGTGTTTTGTCCTATAAAAGAAATACTGACAGCCTGCAGAAGTTCTGCTATAAATCTACAGTGAATGTTTACTGTGGGCAATGAACAAAGCTGCTTAAATTAAGACAGTAAACCGTAACATCAACATCAGGTGAAAGGAATGCAAACGTGCAAGTTGATGGCTTTTGCTTTTAGCTTCTGGCATAAATAGTGAAGAATGTTCGTATGGAACACAGCCGGAAAGATTAAACAACATGCTCTGACAGGGAATGCAGCTTCCTAGCAGCTTGAGAAGGGGATTCTCACCAGGAAGCAGCTCATGAATTCCAAGAGGATCCCTTCATCCACAGTGTCTACTAGGGATGTTCCAGTGTAAACAACTAACCTTTTAACCAATAAGAGGATGCTTATGTTTAACAGTGTCAGTTCCAGGGAGAAGAAGGCTTCTCTGAGTGTGGGCCCCGAGGGCAAGGGCAGCACCTCGCTCCCAGGGATGTTTCGCTACAGGCTCTGCAGTATAAAGCCGGGAAGCAGGCTGGTGTAAAAGTGCAGGATCTAGGCAGGAGGTAGGGTACAGAAAGGTCTCAATGGGAGGGAGGATACAAGAGGGAGCAGGAATTAGGGTCCGGGCAGAAGACAGGATGCAAGAGTGGGCTGGCCATGGGAGGCTGGGTCTGGGTGGGAGAGGTGCAAGGTCTGGAAGGGAGGGAGCAAAAGCGAGGTTGGAGTATGGGGTGCAGGTGGGAGGGGTTGCACAAGTGGGATGGGAGTGCATGGGATTGGGGTGCCTACCTGGTACAGTTCCCAGGGATAGGTGTCTTCACCTGGCTTTGCAGGCTTCACGAATGCGCTCCCAGCAGACAACATACCCCTGCCAGCCAATGGGAGACACGGGGGTGGTGCCTGCAGAGAGCACGACCCTGGAGTGTGTAGAGCTGCCTTCTCCCTCCCTCCAGGCTTATCAGGCTCACGAAGCCCCTACTGCTGCTCTGAAAGACCCTCAGTAATACCCTACCTCGCATTGCTTGGGGGAGGGGCTTCGGGCAAAGGGACGGGTCAGGGATAGACTTAAGGGAAGGGGTGAAGGGGGGTGGGACAGGGTGAGGCAGAGGTGTGGCCTGCCACAGAGGGGTTGCCTTGGGCCCTGTGTCCCCCTAAGGATGGCCCTGATTCTTGTAAATTAAAACATGGGTGCAAGAGTGGGATTCTTCAAAAATTTAAGTATGTCAAAAGAAAAAGTCTCAATGACTTTCAAGTCACTGGTAATGCACAATCACATATGCCTTGTCTATACACAGAAGTTGTGCCCTTTAACTATTGCTGGCATTATTAACATTATATTACACACCAAGGATGAATGCAATTAGCTTGGCATAGCTTTTTCCATGGTCAAAAGGATAAGCAGCTATATTAATGCAACACACCTTTGAATCAAATAACTGTATCTACAATACGGGGTGTACCATTATAACTATATTAGTTTAAGAAAATCACACCCTCATCAAAATAATCAGTATAAAAATGATACATGCCACGTGTTCAGTTTTTGAAAATTTCACCCTCCACTCAGAGCTGTTAATATGATGAAAACATGATACCTTTTGCATCTGTTTGGTAGTAAAAGGGATGCTGCCAAGCAGGACCAGAAGTGAGAGAACACATTCTCTTTTTGCAAATAGTGGAAGTGTCCAGGTTTTTTTTAAATTTTATTTTTAGTCAACCAGTTGGCTCAGTCCTCAATCATATAGATCTCAGGTTTTTCAAGCTCTTGGCATTTCACATTGGAAGAGCCACAAATGGCATAGTCACTGTGCATTTTTTCACCTGTGCAAAGACTGCATCATATCTAAAACGGATCCCTCAAACCTCATCAGCTGATGCCCATGGTGACTGACTCTAGGCTGTCAATCTTCAGATCAGGCAGCTTTCACTAGGATAATATACTAACAAAGTGAACATTTAGCAATTTCCAATTTCAACAGCACACAATTTAGATTAGGGCAGCAAAGACCAAACACTTCATGTGAGGAATATCAAAGAGCATATAGAAAATACCAACTTCACAAACACTTGATAAAGGAAGGTTTCAATTTCTCCCACCCCATCTCATCAGCTCTTCTGGCTGAAGTACCATCTGCCCAAGTCAAAGAAATCACAATTCAAGTTACCACCAGTGCAAGCAATCTCCACTACACATGCTTTACCTCCCCCCCCAAAAAATTCTAACATTTCAATCCTTTCAAGAATATATGAATTTTTGAAGTCTATAAATTCCATAGTTATAGCATGGTATTTTGTTTACACAGCCACAGATATTTCCTAGGAACACTGTAAGTGTAGTGTAAGGCACAGAATGTTTAAAAGTAGCTCTGGAAAAAGTAAGAACTCAAAATCAAAATTTATCAGAAAATAAAATTACTGCAAACTTCAACATAAATTTGATGCTAGCTGCAGTAGGCAGTAAATCAGAACACCCAAGCTCAGTAAACAATATTATTTAAAAAAATAAACCAGATTGCCTAACTAGATGATGCAAGTAACCTGTTGCAAGATTGTGAAAACAGGATATGTCTAGTCATGTGACAATCTGAAGCCTTTTAAGCTTTAAAAGGCCATTGATACAAATGTAATTAGCCTACAATACTATTAAACTGTTCATTAAACAACAGTCATTTTGTACCATTAGGCTTATCAGATTCCTGGGGGATGTCTCAACAAGAGTTATTCTAATTAGCATACCCAATTAAGTACATTATCCTGTAATATTTTATTTAAGATTACCACCAAAAAATGCGCACTCTTGAGTTTCAAACTTTCAGCACAGGACAGAATTTAAGATATATGGATAGTTAATCTCATTGTATCACCAAGCGGCATTAAGATGGTACCTTTTCCATTTCCTTTGGAGTGATATATCAAAATAATCTGTGCCTATTAGGACGGTCAACTGATGAAAAATAACTGAGTGCTATCATGTCCCTTCTTAGTCTTCTCTTTTCTAAAGAAAAGAAACCCAGTTCTTTCAGTCTTCCCTCACAGATCATATTTTCTAGACCTTTAATAATTTTTGATGCTCATCTCTGGACCTTCTCCAATTTCTCTGCGTCTTTACTGAAATGTGGTGCCCAGAGCTGGACACAATACTCCAGCTGAGGCCTAATTAGTGCAGAGTAGAGTGGAACAATGACTTCTCCTGTCTTGTTCACAATACTCCTGTTAATGCATCCCAGAATTGTGTTTGGGGTTTGTTTTTTTTTTTGTTTTTTTTTTCAGTGCTGTGGTGAGAGATTCAGTATGACCCCTACATCTCTTTCTGCAGTACTCCTTCCTAGACAGTCGCTTCCCATTCTGCGTGTGTGAAACTGATTGTTCCTTCCTAAGTGGAATACTTTGAATTTGTCCTTATTAAACTTCACCCTATTTTCCTCAAACCATTTCTCCTATTCGTTTTAAATAATGACATGATCCTCCAAAGCACTTGATACCAAGTTGGGACGGTTTGCATCTGCAAACTTCATAAGCGTACATTCTATGCAAATATCTAAATCTCACATGACTTAAAATAAATATGCCAAAAACATACGGTTATGTAGGAGCAACCAAAACCGGTCGAGAAATAAACTTATGGGGAATAAAAGGCATAAAACATTCTAATTGGAATCAAATACTCTTAAATCTCCAAACAAATGTATTTTTCAGTAAGCCACTTACTCATTTTAGAGTAACATGTAAAAATTTTAAATCAAACAAAGTTCCAGTTAAGCTCTACTTCATAATTAAGCAAATGTATAAACAGGAGACAGCAACCTCAAGACAGCAATCACAAACTAGATTAAAACAGCATTATTAAGGCTGCAAAGTTAAGCATTCAAAAGTTAAGAAATACCAGACTTCAGATTGCTTGTGCAACCTCAATTTTGTCCTCTTGTCTATATGCATTATGATAATTAATTTCTTGATTGAACACTATTTTTCTACAGGTCCCCAATTTACTCACTGCATAAGATGGAGCTGTTTTGGCAGGAAACACTAAAACGTTAGGTTTTTTTTTTTTTAAATAGAAAAGGGGTTTTTATTTAAATACAGATTTATTTTAAAAACTATTTAAACTTAAATTTGAAATAGTGACAACTTATGTTAAGACCTTCACTTATGACAACTATTCAAGTCCCTTTATAGTACTTTTAAGAATATTAAAACACTACATGTTTGCTTTCAAGTTCAAAAGCCACACCAAGTTACTGGTCAGGTGGAAGGGTCTGACTATGCCCCTGGAACCAGACTTTGGTCTGATTTACACTACAAACCCATGTTGGCATAACTATGTTAGAGGGGTGTGAGACACACACCCGAGCAACACAATTATACTGACCTATCCCCGACAGAGACATTGCTGTCAGTGATAAGAATGTTAAATACTAGCCAACTAGTCAATTCCCCCCCCCCCCCGCCACCTTGCTACCTTTATCAGACAGAGGTAGCAAAAACGGGGTGGGGGAGAAGAAGGGATACTTCAAAGTGGCAGCACCGCATAGAGCCCAGGGTATGGGCTCCATGCAGCGCTGCCACTTTGAAATGCTGCGGCGGCATTTCAAAGAGGCAGCGCTGCACAGCCCCAGGCTACGTGTGGCACTGCTCCTTTGAAATGCACCCGTGGCGATTCAAAGCAGCAGTGCCACATGGAGCTGACCCCAGGCTCTGTGTGGCACTGCCCCTTTGAAACGCCACTGCAGTTTTTCAACAGGACAGCACAGAGCCCAGGATTAGCTGTGCGGTGCTACCCCTTTGAAATGCCACCACAGCATTTCAAAGCAGCAGCACTGCGTGGAGCCCAGGGTCAGCTGGGGACTCCCTAGCTGGCCCTGGGCTCTGTGCGGCATTTCCGTGGAATCTGGAGTTAGCATCCTGGGTTCCGCAGAAATGTTGCACGGAGCCCAGGATCAGCTGGGAAGTCCCAGCTGACCCCAGTTCCACATGGCATTTCAAAGTGGCAGCACTCACATGGAGCTTGGGGTCAGCGAGAAGTCCTGCTGACTCTGGGCTCCACATGGGCACTTCTGCTTTGAAATGCACAAGAGCTCCCAGACTCTTGTGCATTTCAAAGCGGAAGCACCCATGTGGAGCCTGAGTCAGTGGGACTTCCCGCTGGCCTACGCTGCACGCGGAGTGCCAACTTCGAAATGCACAACATTTCAAAGGAGGAATGCAGAAGTGCCTATCGACTAGTAAATTACTTGATATTTAACATCCTTAGTCGGTGAAAGAGATTCTCCTGTCAACACAGCTTTCGACTCTTGGGGATGTGAATTAACTATGACAACAGAAAAACTTTCTCCCATTGGCACAGAGAGTCTTCATTAAAGAACTACTGCAGTGCAGCAGTGCCAATGCAGGTTTTAAGCATCGACCTGCCCTTCACTGAAGTGCTATCTAGCTTTGGATACCTCTTTTACCTTTGGCAGGTAAAGAGAATATTTTCTTAATTTCACTATTCAACTAATTCATTCAAAGTTAAGAAATCCACTGGGAGTTGAAAAAGCAGGAAAGTTTGTTTTCTTTTTCCAATCCATGAACAAGAATTAGGTGTGAAAAGATGAGATACAATAGTTCAAAAATCTGAAGGACAGTCAGACACTATCGGTTTAATTCATTAACTACAGATAAACTTCCAATGAACAAATACCACCTCATCCAATGCATTTGTGTTAAATTAGTTTTAAATACAAAACATTTCTGATAAAATGCTGATAAACTCATGTGTATCCACCACATTCAAGGGAATTTATGTAATAGAAATAATTTCAAAATGCTATTTTATGTAATTAATTGAATTCCATCCAAATAAAGCTTTACAACAAGTGAAAACCTAATCTAGCAAATAAGAAATTCATCGTTCACCATTTCTAACAAAATATAAAAGTTAATTTGAGTGTAAGATTCACAATTGCTTAAATAAATGTGCATGTACACATACACTTCGTACCCTCTTGATCAACAAAAAGCAGCATCACATTTGGTTTAAGCTAGTGTTTCTCAAACTGTGCTCCGTGGAGTCTCAGGGCTCTGTGAGACATCTCCAGGGGCTCCGCGAGGTTGACAAACTGGAAAGCCTTCAAAAGAATAATTGAGAATTGCTTCAAACTGACGCAATTAACACACACCGCTGGGAAGCCACATACATTTTTACGCATGTAAAGGGCTCTGGAGCACAAAAAGTTTGAGAACCGCTTTTTAAGCGCTATATTTTGTCAACCCATGAGAACACCACCTTCTTTTAGGAAAATAATCTTGTTCTGAATTTGTACTTTTTTATTAAAATTATTTCAACCAATGCACCCCATTCTCTAGAGATGTATTAGGATTCACTGAATACATTGCATTATAGAAAGGTATGATCTGCAGTAGGGATGTTAAATATCAGTTAATTGAACAGTCAAGTAACCTCATGAATTCTTATCAGTTATTCAAATATTCTATAGTCCCTGTGGGCAGGACCAGTAAAAGCGTGAGGTGCCAGGCAGGAGCTAGTGCATGAGGGGAGCCAGTTTAAAAACCAGCTCCCCTTGTAGACCAGCTGCTTGTTGCCCAGTGCTGTTGCTTCTGATAAAGAGAGCAGCGCGGGGTAGCAGTAGCCCCTGTCTGCAGGGGGGAGGGGCCTGAGCTCCTGGACCCAGCGCAAATCAGAACTGAGCCGGACGCCTGCCTGACCAGCTCCTAATACGCTTTATGCGGAGCCGCAAGCCGGATGCCTGCCTGACCAGCTCCTAATACGCTTTATGCGGAGCCGCAGTGGGGGTAGGTCCTGGACCCAGCGCAACCTGGGACTGAGCCGGACTGCTGGCCAGTCTGCTAAATTATGCGGAGCCGCAGTGGGGGTAGGTCCTGGACCCAGCGCAACCTGGGACTGAGCCGGACTGCTGGCCAGTCTGCTAAATAATTTACTGGCGGGGGGGAGGGGAGGGAAGAAGAGAGAGGAGAGAAATGTGTGTAGTCTACAGCATTAACTGATAAGCTTTTGCATATTGGTTAATTGACTACACTATTACATCCCTAATCTGCAGGAGCCTGGGTTTTTTGCTGCAGAAATTGAAAGGTGCGGAGTGAATGAGGCAAGGCACTGTATGAAAAGAAAGGATGGTTTGGTGGTTAATACAATTAAATGCTGCGCTGGGGATTTGGATTCCATTCCTGACACTGAGTTCCTATATGCTAGGCAAGTTACTTCATCAATACTTTCAATGGGTGTCTATTAACTGGGCATTCCTCATTTTTTAAGAGTTTTGATTTCAGACATTGCAACTGATCTGCAGAAATGCCAAGAACACTCAGCTACAACGGAAGTCACTGGGAGCTCTATGTTGAACATATAAACTATTATATAATAGGGATATAAAATCCCATATAAAAGGGGGTTAAACTAGGGATGTAAAATCCCATTTAATTGGTTAACTGATTAAAGAGGTATTGGGAAGAGGTGGGCAAGGCTGGAGCAATCCCCACCACCATAAACAAGAGCTGCTTCAGAGGACTGGTTAAAGCAGACCCTGCCTGCAGTGAGGAGAGGGAAGCAGGTTGGGCCTACTGTGGACAGGACTGCTCTGGCCGCCTGGTTAGAGCACCTCCTGCCTCCGGCACGCCACCTGGACCAGACCCACCACAGACGGGGCAGCTCCAGCTGGCCGGTGAGAGGAGCCCCTGTCTGCAGTGGGCCTTGCATGGCTGAAGCAGCCCCCTGCCCATGGTGGGCAGGCAACCCCTTCTGCCCTTACCAGTTAACCACTCACACCCTTAGATAAGGCTAAGTATTCTGGAAAAAAAACCAGGCTTCTTTGTGCTCTAATCACTCTATATCTGTTTTCCAGCTGTATAAAAGGGTGATAAAACTCCATCTTCTTGCCTAGCCCATGTCATTTCTCCCTTCATCCAATCTCTCTCTGGAGCATTCACTGCATGGACAGAATCTTCAGGGAATTTAGCTACTTAAGTCTCTACTACACATGTAGAAACTGGGATTTTTCAAAGGTTTTTACAACTTGGCTAAGTTGGGAGATTTTCATTGGGATGCTTTTTACATATCATGACACAAAGGTCACCCTACCCTACAATTTCAAGTCCATAATCCAACACATAAGGCTCTCAAGATCAAAGGTCACCAGAATTTTTTTTAAAATGAGCCAAACAGAATTTCCCCTGCCCTTGTTCCTGGAAATGGCCAACCCACTTCTGCTGAAGTTTTAGAAAACAGGTCAGGCTAAACCAGACACCTGTCATGGAAAATTTCAACCAAAACAGTTAAAGTTTGGCCAAGTTATAAAATGAAAACTGATCAAGCAAATGGGGATACTATTTGCCCCCATGTACCATAAAATCAGAGCGAGACACACACACACAGTGACCCTGGGTAAGTCACTAATGCCTCACTTCTTCCACATCTTAAATTGGGAAACCATACTAGCTTTCCTTTGAAAGAAAAAAACCCTTTGCAATTGATGAAACGTAGTCTGTAAGATACATTTATTGTATCTGAAGCTAATAACATTCCCCCCCGCAGTCCTTCAAGTTACCAGGAGAAACAAACCTGTTGACAGCAAGAGCGTCACTCTGCAACAGATTTTAGAAACTAACAGTAAAATAAGCCAGCTTTCCTTGGTTAAAATGGCAGAACCATCAATCCAGCAATATATGGCTATTTACCCTAGCAAATAAATTCACTTTTCTAGCTACACTGAATTCTAACAATTACAAAATATTTTTTCCATGCAGATAATTACAGAAATGAAAGGAAATTGGAGTGTTTTTCCCCCAAGTGTATGCATGCTATTAGTCATGTAAAAACAAATATCTTATTTTAACTATAAATGTTGCTTGATATACCAATTCAGGCACTACAGAACTGAAGATCTAAGAACGGTCATTAATTTTGTTCACATTTTTAAAAACAAATCTGTTCCTTCCAATAGTCTTCTGTAGGAAAGATATGCTTAGGGCCTGCCCTACCAAATTCACAGTCCTTTTTGGTCAATTCCATGTGTTTTTTAAATGATACATTTCATTATTTCAGATAGTTAAATCTCAAAGTTCATGGTGTTGTAAAATTGCAGGGTTCCTGAGCCAAGAAGGAAGGAGTTGTGTGAGGGTTGAAGTATTGCTACCCATTCTTCTGCATAGCTACTGGCAGTGGCTCTGCCTTCAAAACTAGGCAGCTGGAGAGCAGGGACTGTTGGCCAGGAACCCAGTTCTGAAGGAAGAGCCACTGCCAGCAGCAGGGCAGACATGAGGATGGCATGGTATTGCCACTTTTACCTCTACAATGCTTTCTGCAGAGCTAGGCCCTTAGCAGTCTTCACTGTCCAGCTGCCAGGCTCTGAAAGCAAAAGTACAGAAGGGCAACATGGGTATGATATTCAGAGATTCGAGTGTAAACGACTAATCATTTAACCGTTACGTGGACGCTATAAGTTAATGGAGTCAGTTACACTCAGTGAAGCTTTCCCCCTGGGAGCTGGGTGAGTGGGGGCTGGCAGCTCTGCTCCTGGGGGG